AAGCGCTTTCCCCCTTTTCTGTCCTCTTGTCCTCCTTAGTGAGGATGCCAAAGGCATTGCCGTGATTGACGCAGAATCTGTTTTTGACACGTTGTCTAAGAATTCTGCGGGGTCCCGGGCCGACAGGCGGAACGTCGTGCAGCTTGCTGTCATCAGAGATGCTCTGTCAGGCATGGGGTCGAGAGCGCGATGGGTCCCACACGGGCGAATGCCTGCTAACCCGTTGACCAAACAGGACCCGATGCGAGGACGCCTCGCTCTGCACGATCTGTTGTGTCGTGGGAGTCTCGTATTGATAGATGAGCACGGCCACATAGATGAGCGAGCTCCAAATCATCCTCTAAAATCAAGATCGCGAGGCGCCAGCAGAAAAGCCATCGAGTCGACTGCTGCCGCGGAGGGCATAGGCACGTTCAGGGTTGAGCGCGCCGTTGACGGCACCATCTCCGAGGAGATGGCGTTTAGGAGTCAGCCTCAGTTTGTGGTGCCTTCCCCAGGGGTATGGGGTAGTGTCAGCGCCACCGTATCACGTGAGAACACTGGTTCCCATTTTTCGTCTCGTCGTCGTCGTCCCTCGTCGCTCCTCTGACCCGGCAGATCCAGGACCTGCGAGACAAGGCCCGGAGGGAGAAAAAAGGAGGAGAAAGAGGAGAAGGAGGAGACTACTAGATATGATGAGGATCGCATGAGGCCGCGAGAGTTAGTCCTGCTGTCCCCCGTGGTCCCATGGAGTCCTCGGGGGTCCCCATCCCTTTCCCCTCTTTGGCCCCGCTCTCGACCTCCGTAGCCTTTGGCTTAGATATGTGCTCTCTCCGTGCGCCGTGAGTCTGTATGGAAGATCCCCCTCTCGCCCATCTCCTCCGAGTATGCCGCCCGATGATGTGACAGTGCCGCCCCGCGTTCGGCGATCGGGGGGCCCCACTGGGCCCGCACCAGAGGTCACCCCGGCGAAAGGTCACTCTTACGTCTAGTCGGCACGGAGTCAAAATCAGATCGGATCGGCTGAGCCATGACGCACAACAGCGCCATTGCAAGCATCGGGCCGGATCGGATCGAATGAAGATCGGAATCGGGTCAAATCGACCCGGCCACCATTTATGTCGAATCGGATCGATCGGATCGATCGGATCGAAATCGATCCTGGGGGGGCGAAGACAGGCACTCCAGCGGGCCCCAAGGCCGTCAGGAAATGCTTCGGTATGCAGAGCCGGTCCCAGTGAATGGGTCGAGACCATGGAGGTCCACGTCGTCAAAGGTCCTAGCGTCGGGGGACTGGGAACGGAAGGGGGGAAGAAGAAGAAGAAAGGCGCACTTTTCGTGCAACCTCGGGGCCACCGGGGCGGCCCTCGGCAAGGCCCCTCTGGGGGCACCTCGCCTGCGGCTCCCCCCCCCCCCCCGACCTCCGCTGGTCCGATGTTCTCAAGCCGCGGCCACAGAACTCCCGACCTCTTCGCCGGCTTTTGCCAGAATTGCCCCCTGGCCCAAGCTGCCCCCAGGATTTCCAAGAGGAGGCCCCCACGGCCTCCAGAGGACCCCTCGAGAGGCCCAGAAAGCCCCAGGGGCTCCAAAATGGAGCGAAAAGCGGGGAGCACATGGGGTCAGGGGCATCTTTAGCAGCCCCCGGCGTCCCTGCGGGCAGGCTCTCGTCCTAGATCCGTGTTTACGAACCCCAGGGGAGACATCGCCGGTAGATCGGCGAGCCCCCGATAGCGAATGCGCACGTTCCTTGGCGGAGTGGGTTATCGCGCCCCTACCAGCAATCGATGGGCGACTGGGGGTCGATGCATCCCCAGTGAGCCTATCCCCCCCTGACATTGCCCCTGATGATTTTGGAAGAGGAAGAAGAAGACAAAACATAAACATAACATTTCGGAGCTCCGCGCGGCTGTCTTGCATCGGCGCTGGAGGCGCCGCCACAGGGGCCCAGGTGCTGATCCAAGAAATCCACGGAGGGCTCCGAAAGTTTATGCTTGTCTGGAGGCGGCCTGGGGGTCTGCACTGAATGGGTCCCGAGAAAATCTGTCAAGACAAGGGATACGGACAAATCTGATCAAAATCAGTCCCTAGACAACTCCCGGGATCCATCTGGTGCAACTTCTCGCCCCATATCTGGTTTGACGGTCACGGGGGCCCGAAAAAGGACCCCAGAGGCCGAAAACAACAACAGCAACAACAACAACAACAACAACAACAACAATCAGTTTAAAACGGTTCGCTCTTACTGGCCCTCGTGCCTTGCATTCCGTATACCCCAACCCTCGATACTCGCCCACTTCGTCTTCGATTGCACTCCCTTTCGGGGGGAAACTCTTCCTTGTCGGGCACTGACTGAAGTGCGAAGAAGTGTCGAGCGAGAGCACCGTTCCTGAATTCGTGGGCCTCTCTGGTCAAAGGCTCTCGGAATACCGATGGAAGAATATCGAACGAGAGCACTTGACACCGTGTCCGGGCCTCCACCAACTTGCATGAATTACGGGAAAGTCTCGAGCGAGAGCACAATTCCTGAGAACGGGGGCCTTCTTGACCAGAGGCTCTCGAAGTAAGTCGTGAGGAAGTAGCGAGCAGGAGCCCTTGTCGTCGTGGCTGCGCCTCCGCCAACTTAATTGAATTGCGTGGAAGTCTCGAGCGAGAGCGCCGTTCCTGAGTTCGGGGACCTCTCTGGCCAGGGTGTATCGGGGTAAGTTGTGAGGAAGTATCGAGCGGGAGCCGTTGTTGTCGTAGCTGGGCCTCCAAGGGTCCACATTTAGGATCAAGCCAACGCTCAAGCGGGAGCCTTGTTTTCAGCGAAAATGTAGCCGGCGGCGAGGCGAGAGCGCGCGGAACCGCTTCCGGAGATCAGCAATAATTATTCTTTAGGAATGGACAAGACTGTTCGCTCCGATCTGCTCACGTGCCAGTCAATACGTATATCCCAAACCCTCGGTATCCGCCCTCGACGTCTTCGATCGTGACCCCTTGGGGGTATATCTTCCTTAACTACCACGTGCATTTAGGGCAGCCTCTAAAACAAGGGAGAGAACGGGTGGAAGCGGGAGGGAGAAGAATGGAGCACGAGAGAAATTAGCAGGAAGGGGCAAGTAGCAGAAAACTAATGGTATAACCAGACGGGCAGATCGGGTGGGCAGACCCGTAGCGTTGTGGATGCCATGACAATGGACACTCCAACCGTTCTTCATTGAATGTAACATGTCTTGTTGAACAATTTTATAGATTCGGAAACATGCTTTACATGCATAATATTTGTTTGAAACATGTTTTACACCTGGAAAGAATGTGTCAACATGCTTCCTCTCCATTGATCGTCGTCCACAACCATCGCGGGCAGGTCGGGAAGGCGGGCGCAGGAGACGAGGTCGAGCAGGCGGGTTGCTGAAGCGTGGGCCCTGCATGAATCGCGAGGATGTCTCGAGCGATAGCGCGATTCCCAAGTAAATCGTGAGAAAAGCCAAAGCGAGAGCGTGATTCCTGAGCGCCGAGGGCGCATCGTCTGCATAAATTGCGAGGAAGACCCACGGGAGAGCACGATGCGTACATGAACTGTGAGGGCGTCAAGCGCGAGAGCGCGATTTGAGAAGAAATTGTGAGGAAACATCAGGCGGGAACCGTTGTTGTTGTAACTCGGGGGCCAGGGGCCCAGTTTGAGCCTAGTGACTTTCCCTGATTAAAATAAAAGGTGCGGGAGAAGCACTTCACTTGAAAAAACACACTGGTGACGGGGGGGGATCAACAATACTTACTCTTGAGCAGTGGGAGTTCAACAACCAGTTTAGTACTGTTCGCTCCTATCTGCTCACGTGCTATATCCCAAACCCTCGGTATCCGCCCTTGCCGTCTTCGATCGTAACCCCTTGGGGGAATATCCTCCTTACCTGCCACGTGCATGTAGCGCAGCCCCTAGAACAAGGGAAGAGAGAACGGGTGGAAGGGGGAGGGAGAATAATGGAGCACGAGAGAAATGAGCAGGAAGGGGGTAAGGAGCAGAAAACAAGTGGTAGAATCAGACGGGCAGATCGGGTGGACAGACCCATAGCGGGCAGGTCGGGAAGGCGGGCCTAGGCGACGAGGACGAGCAGGCGGGTTGCTGAAGCGTGGGTCCTGCATGAATCGCCAGGAAGTCTCGAGCGATAGCGCGATTCCCAAGTAAATCCTAAGAAAAGCCGAAGCGAGAGCGTGACTCCTGAGCGCCGAGGGCGCATCGTCTGCATAAATTGCGAGGAAGACCCACGCGAGAGCACGATGCGTACATGAATTGTGAGGGCGTGAAGCGCGAGAGCGCAATTTGGGAATAAATTGTGTGAAAGTATCATGCGGGAGCCGTTGTTGATGTAGACCGGGGGCCAGGGGCCCAGTTTGAGCCGAGTGACTTCCCCTGATAAACAACAGGGTGCGAGCCCTGGGGGAAGCATTTCAATTGAAAAATACAGTGGTCACAGGAGGGGGGATCAACAATAAGTATTCTTCAGCAGTGAGAGTTTAACAACAGCAACAACAACCACAACAACAAAACAGCAGCAGCAACAACAACCAACAACAACAACCAAACACAGCAACAACCATCATAACGACAACCACAACAACAATACTAACAACAACAACCACAACAACAACACTAACAGCAATAATACTAACAATACCAACAACAACAACGAGAACAACAACAACAACAACAACAACAACAACAACAACAACCACAACAACCACAACAACAACAACAACAACAACAACAATAGCAACAACAGCAACAACAACAACCAAAACCACAACCACAACCACAACCACAACCACAACATCACCATCACCATCACCATCATTACCAACAACATCAACAGCAACAGCAACAACGACAAAAACTCGTCAGACCCAGAACCTCGAAGCCCGCCCCCCCTCCCTGCTACCCAGAACCAGTGCTGGGCCATCTCAGGCCCCCAGCCAGCTCCAAGTGTGTGAGCAGTTGATGTTCGACTTCGAGGCGGCCCCCCCATTACGGAACGCCCGGCGGC